GCTCCTCTGATGCTGCTTGGCCTGCTGTGTTCATCCAGCTCTACACCATGTTATCTATAACACACAGGACCCTGTTTCATCCAGTCAAAAGGGAATTTATACAAACACTGCATTATTTTCATCAGAAAAGACTGACTGCCAACCTCCACTGCATTCCTGTGGCAATATCCTGCTAGAGATTAATCAGTCTACCTGTCTGATCTGAGAACCAAGACTAAGAGTCAACTATTCCCACTGCACCCTTTGGCAATAATGATCCAAATCAGAACCATCTTCTCATGCTGTGCAAATCTGTGTCCCTTATCTCCTCCCCACCAAAGTTGGTTTCCTGTACCCTATTCTTTGAGTGCAATACAAGAGTTTCAACTTCTTGATCACTTTTTGAGTGATATTTAAGTTCTGTACTATCAAGTAATTATTTATACTGAAGACACAAATTTAAGGAATAAGGTATAAACATTTTGGTTACGTAGTCGCTAACTTCACAAGAAATTGTACTAGTGCAAAGAAATTGAAATCAAATCAAAAACTTGCTTTTCTATAGTAACTTTAATATAGAAAGAATGCATCAAAATCAGGAAAAACAATTTCTGCAAATTGTAATTTTTGCCTTCAAGTAAATTCCTAACATGAACACTAAACTCTGCAGTTTTGACTTTGTTCATGCAGTCTGATCTGCAGTAATCTATCCCAGAACAAACATCCTACCAGTGAACTGTTCACATATTTCATCATGTAAACAATGCTCAGCTATTGTACATCGTGGGCCAAAGGGCCTGTACTGTGCTGTTCTATCATACTACACCCAGGACACAGCTGTAAGAAACAAGAATAGAAGTAAGCCACATGGCCCACTGAGCCTATGCTATCATTCAGTAAGACAACAACAGAACTTTTCAGCAAGTATCCCATCACACTCTCTCCCACAAGACTACCTCAGGAATAAAATCTACTGAACCTTAATTATACCTATTCTAAAGGTGAGCATATCCATTCTTGGGTAAGAAAACCAAAATTTCATTTTAGATATGATCTCACAATCTAGGTGATTGCAGCAAGATTGTATGTTCTTGAACTCCCTTGCAATTAAAGTCAAAACACAATTTTCCTTTTTAAAATTGCTTGTAGTTTCATAACAACTTCCAGTAATTTGTGTACAAAGATTCCCAAATCCCCAACTCTTGCACCTTATAAAAAATGATTTTTCATCCTTCCTACCAAAATAGATAATTCTATTCTTCCCCATATCACATTCATCTGTCAACATTTTCCCCCAATTATTGCCAGTTATTTATGATACATTTCAATGAGGGAATCAAACTTAATACTTACAAATTTGGTGATGACAAAACTAGGTGGGATTGAGTGGTGAAGAGGATGTAAAGGGGTTTCTGGGCAATTTAAACAATTTGAATGGGAAAATGCACAGCAGATGCTGTATAATATGGTTAAGTGTGAACTTGTGCATTTTGGTAGCGAGAAATAGAATGGCAGAATATTACTTAAAACGTGACAGATTGGGAACCATTAATGTACAAAGGGACCTCAACGCTCTTGTACACTACTCATTGAAAGCAAGCATGCAAGCGCAACAAACAGTTTTATGTGGGATGGAGTGGGAATGTATGGCTGCCTTCATTGCAAGAGGGTGTGTGTACAGAAGCAAGAAGATATCACTGCAATTGTATACTGAGAGCGCAAACCTGAAATATTCCTTTCGGTTTTGCTCTCCTTACACATAATATGCTTACAGCAGAGGAAGTGAAGGTTCACCAGACTGATTCCTGAGATGGTAGGTTTCTCATACAAGGAGGCATTTGGTCGACTGGTCCTGTCATTTACTGCAGTTTAGACAAATGAGACATATCACATTGAAATATGTAAATTTACGGACAAACTGGACAAGTTGGATGCAGGAATGACTGTCCCTTGGTCACGGTCTCAGGAAATACAATTGTCTATTTTGGATTGAGATGAGAAATTTCTTCAGAGGGTGGGACACATGGAATTCTCTACCACAGAAGGCAGAGGGGGTCAAGTCGCTGAATATATTTAACCAAGAAATAAATAATTTATAAAGGCTAAAGTCTCAAAAGATATGGGGAGGGAGCAAAGTACTGAGATAGAGGGTCAGCCATGATCGTGTTGAATGGCAGTGGGCTTGATGGGCCAAGTCGCCAGTACAGAGCAGACTGTGTTGTGAACAGTGAATATAACAGACAAGATCGAAAGAAGCAAATGGTGGACCGGAGGCTGGCTAGTGTTGTGCCTTTATTTAAGAAAAGCTGCAAGGAAAAGCCTGGGAACTATAGACCCATGTGACTGACATCGGTGGTGGGTAAGTATTAGAAGTAATTCTGAAAGGATTTAGATGCATTTGAAGAGGTAAGGATTGATCAGGGATAGTCAGCGCAGTTTTGTGTGAGGGAAATCATGTCTCTCAAACCGGAGAATTTTTTGAGGAAATAATCAAAAAGATTGATGAAGGCAGAGTGGTAGGCTTTGTACATGGACTTTATTAAAGCTTTTGACAAGATTCAGCATGGTAGACTAAAGACTAAAGTTAAGATCACATGGGATTCAGCTTGAGCTTGCCAAATCGGCTTTATAGGAGACAGTGATGGTGGAGGGTTTTTGGACTGGAAGCTGTGGCCAGCGGTGTTCCACAGAGGTTGGTACTGTGTCCACGTTTGCTTGTCATTTATATAAATGATTTGTATGAGAATATAACAGTCATGGTTAGTAAGTTTGGGGATGACAACAAAATTGGTCGTATATTGGACAGTGAAAATGTTATCTAAGATTACAAAGAGATTTTGATCAATTGGGCCGAGGGGCTGAGAAGTGGCAAAGAGTTTAATTTGAATAAATGAGAGGTACTGCATTTTGCTAAGACAAACAAACGCAGGACTTGTACAATGGGTCCTGGGTAATGTTGTCGAATAGAGGCACCCCGGGGTTCAGATACATAATTCTTTGAAATTTGAGTCACATGTAGGCCTTTAGCACGCCTTCCTTCATTGTATAGGCCTTTGAATATAGGAGTTGGGACCTTATGTTGAGGCTGTACAGGATGCTGGTGAGGCCCCTTTTGGAGTACTCTGTTCAGTTCTGGTCGCCCTGCTGTAGGAAGGTTATTAAATTGGAGAGGGTTCACAAAAGATTTGCTGGGAATCGAGACTGAGCTATAAGGAGTGGCTGGATAGGCTGGGACCTTTTTTCCCCTCTGGAGTGTAGGAGGTTGAAGGGTGACCTCAGGAGGTTTATAAAATCATGAGGGGCATATATAAAGGTGAATAGCAAGGGCTTTTCCCTAGGATGGGGGGAGTTCAAAACTCGGGTGCATATTTTTAAGTGAGAGGAGTAAGTTTTAACAAGGACATGAGGGGCAACTTTTTTTTTTTTTAAATTACACAGAGCGGTTTGTGTGGGGAATATGGCAGAGGAAGTGGTGGATTCAGGTAAAGTTACAACATTTAAAAGACATTTGTCTTTATGTATGCGAACATACATAATATGTATACGAACTGGAAAGGTTTGCAGCGACATGGAGCAAATGGTGGAAAGTGGTACAAGTTTAGTCTGGGAACATGGTCGTTGTGGACTAGTTGGACAGCAGGGTCTATTTCCATGTTGTAGGACTCGGACTTTAAATGGCCCATTCCTGTCTCTATTTGCTATGTTTCTATGTTGAAATGGTCCTTAACTTTTGCAGTCTCTTTGCAACAGACACTTCGCTTATTTTCTAGCTAGCTTTGTAACAGATGGTTAACTTCAACAATTAATGAAGTTCATTACCTTCAGACTCCTGGTTGTCTAAAAAAGGTGCTGGTCCCCATATCCTAACTGTACCATCATCTGAAGCACTAGCCATCATGGACGGGACTTGTGGGTTCCAGCTTACACAGTTTACAGTACGAGTGTGTCCTGTCAGTTCTGCTATTGGCAATTCGCTCCGCTTGTGCCAAATGTAAACCTTGTGATCTACAAGAGATTTTTTTTGTTAACATACAAATTAAAGCATTCTATTTCAGTTCCTTACATGCAGATCCAACTTAATTCACAAGTTAACTTAAATGTAAAAGACTGAGTTTTCTCATTAACACCCCACTGCAGTCTCCAGGTTGAGCGGTCAGTAATCTACTCAGCCACTTCCCTCTCAACGATCTTTAAAAGAGGCAAATATATAATAGTATTAGATACAACCTACCAAAAGTGCAAGTTAGGGCAATGTTTCAGCGATTTTTACACTGTCAAAGATTTTGTCTTCCCCTTATCACCTCATAAAAAATGTGCCTAGTACCAGCAAATGCAGGGAATTTGGAGATAGCATGCAATAGGATTGACTCTACCTGTCACGATAGAACAATTATCTCACTTATTTAGCTGCCTTCAGGCAGTTATCACCATTCACCTTTGTCAAGTTCCAAATCTTAGACCTCCTTTCTAGCCAATAACAACCTGTATTAACAGAATGGGAACTGAATGTACTCCATCAGCCTTTATCACAATTAAAGTGCATATGACAATATTAAAAAAATCACAAGCTAAAGTTTGTATTTTAGCAAGAGATTTGTTTCCAAACTGCTAACCTCTACTATTTGAATTATTCTGCACTTGGAGAGGCACTGATTAATCAAGAACAGTCAGCATGGTTTTAAATGGAATATCATCCCTGAACGACTTGGATGAATTTTTCAAACAGGTGAACAGGTATGCAGATGAGGCAATGCATTCAAAGAAGTCTACTTGGATTTCAGCAAAGCTTTTGAGAAGGTCCCTCAAAGGAGACTGATAGCAAAGTTAAGTGCCCAAAGGCTCCAAGGACATTTGACGAACTGGATCCAGAATTGGCTCAGCAGCAAGAACCAAAAGGGCGCCGGTCGAGGAGTATGTGTGTGACTGTGTCCAAGGAGCTGTATTGGAGCCCTTACTGTATGTGGTGCATATAAGTGACTTAAATGGAGTATAGGAGGGATGATCAGTAAGTTTGCAGATGATACAAAAATTGGTGAGGTGGTAAATAGTGAGGATAGCCTTTGACCTACAGGAGGATACAGGCAGGCTGGTCAAATGTGTTGATCATTGATAATGGAATTCAATGCAGGTAAGTGTGACGTGATGCACTTGGGCAAGACAAACAAGGCAAGTGAATATATGATGAGTTGTAGGACCCTGGGAAGTGCCAAGGATCAGAGAAACCTGGGTGCGCATGTCCATAGATCCTTGAAGACAGCAGGGCAAGTAGATAAAGTAGTTGAGGGGCAAGTGAGATATATGTGTATATTAACCAAGGAATAGAGTTTAAGGCCAGGAAGGTTATGCTGGAACTGTGAAAACGTGGTTAGACTATGGCTAAGTATTGTGTGCAGTTCTAGAATTCAGAGAGTGTAGGAGGGATGCGCTTGCACTGGAAGGGTACAGAGGAGATTTACCAGGATGTTTGAAACAAAAACAAAAAATGCTGGAGAAACTCTGGTGTGGCAGCATCTGTGGACAGAAAGCAGAGTTAATGTTCCAGGTCTGGTGACCCTTCTTCAGAACTGGATGTTGCCAGGGCTGAAGAGTTTGGAGTTATGAAGGGAGATTGGATAGACTGGGATTGGTTTCCTTGCAGCAGGGGAGACAGAGGAGGGGGGTCATGATTGAGAAATGTAAAATTATGAGGGGCATGGATTGTATAGACTGAAGGAGTTTTACCCCTTGGTGAAGAGATCAACAACCAAGGCGTAGATTTAAGGTCGGGGCAGGAGGTTCAGAGGTTGAGAGGAAACTTTTTCTTCCCCACCCAGATGATGGGAATCTGGAAAGCAATGCCAGTAACAGCAAGTAGTAGAAACCCTCATGCCTTTCAAGTGATACTTAGATGTTAGTTTGTGATGCTATGGCTACAACAGTATGGACCTAGTGCTGGGAAACTGGATTTAAATAGTTAGATGGTGGTTTTTAAACCAGCACAAACTTGATGGGCCTTTTTCTGTGCTGTAAATCTCTATGATTATGACCCTAGAGTTGATGGCGTGAAGAATCTTTTCATGCAGTCTGTAGCAATGACACGGAACTTACTGCCTACAAGGGTAGAAGAATCAGAAATGGTTAATGATTTCATAAAGAAATTAGATGGGAACTTGAGGAAAGTACACTCGCAAGGCCAAGGGGTTAGAGTAGGTGAACAGAACTGACTGGATTGCTCTTCAGACAGCTGACAGAGACTTGATGGACACAGAGTGTGCTCCTCCTCAGCCTTGATTTCAATGATTCTAGGTGGGCCTCCACATAAGGAAAGCCCCAACGCAGAAACAAATGGAGCAGACTCCACACTTGCACCACATTCCCCCAGGATTCGGTCAGACTTCTGGGGAATAAACTGAAGGCATTTACACACAAATTAAACTTTTAAAGTTTTAGTTAGTAAAAGTTTATGATAAATAGAAAAAACAGACCACAAAATGGTGTAGTCATTGAACAGAGTCTGAAGTGAAGCAGTAAAATACTGTTGACACATGCCTCAGCATTTTCTGCAATTTTCTATGTCCTGATTAAATAATGGATTTCTGTCAATAAGTTCCTAAGTATCCAGACATTTATTGATCATTTTACCCTCACACTTGGATCTAGGCCTACCACAGGCAGGCAAACAGAAAGTGGGAAGTTCTTGCTATCCATACACCAAATTGACTTCATCTACACTAATATTAGAATCTACGATGCTGTATATACCTACTTCTTACCTTCGCTGCCACTGGCTATAAAGTCTTCATTGTTGCCTCCAAAACATGAATGAATGGTGTAAAATCCTTGTGTGACACCTTGATACTTTCTCACTAAAACACGGTCCTGTAGGTCCCATAGGTGAACTCCCTAACAACACAGAGAGACAGTCATACAGAACTTGAGGTTTTCTTTCTTTGCATTTTTAAATAAAATAGCCTCTGAAATGAAAAATGCAATTAATATTCAAATGCTCTAAACGGTAAGACATGATACCCAGATGGCTGAACACGAATCTGATTAGGAGAACTGTCTTGGTTGAGAAAGCATATGAAACAATTATAATTTCACATTCTGAAAAGTGCTCAATTCTTATCTTTAACCCTTATCTTTACAGACACAGGCAAGTTTGCTCCATTTTTTCAGTACCTACACTTCTTTTTACGTTTTGAATTTGTAACATTCGCAAGGAGCTACACAGAAAACGTACCACATTCAGCATTAAAAGCTTGAACTACCACTGCGCTTAAATGTTCAATTTAGTGCTTACCAGTGGTTGACAATTTTCCCATCGATGGGTTTAAGTCACTGAACCACACCAACTCTGTGGCTAAGAGGTTTGTGTAATCAGCTATATACACCCATTTTCCTTCCAAACCATGATAACTCTTCAGACTCATTTCAGAGGCAGCAATATTCATAATTCAGCGACATCATGACTTAAGACCTTTATAAAGCACTATTTCCTCAATCAGGCCCTCAATTATTCTCATTTTGTATTTTGCTGCATACCCCAATGGATGGTTTTCCACATTGCATGGTACTATATAGCTAGGCAAACAATGAATTAAAATCACTCAAATTTTATGTTTTTCACCACATGCAGCTACCACATCTGATTTTACTTCTCTATTCTTCAATCAAAATAAAAATAGACAGAACTCAAGAATGAAATATTACAAGAGTAACGAACACCGAATGAAAAAGGTGGAAATATAACATCTATTAAAACGAGAAGGTGGCTTAAGAAAGTATTTTAAGATCATGGGACACCAGTGACTGAAAGCATGGTTAGCAGTGAGACAATGAAGAGGACAAAACAGGTCAGACTCATAACCTGATTCAATGCTGGAATTTTCTAAGATTCCAGGTTAGCATTGTCAAATGACACACTTCCAATACAGCAACTATAGCAACTGGATGCAACATAAAGCTAATGCAACAATTTAGCTCAGCTCAAGATGGGTATAACTCACTGAGTGTGTAATATTGGATTTATCATAAAGCTCCCCAAGCATCCATAAGCCAGTCACTAGAAAACTACATAACAGCATTGCATCATAAGAAATATGTTAAAGACAAGACAAAACAACTGATGCAATAAGTGCTGGAAATACTCAGCAAGTCAGTCATCATCTGTGGATAGAAACAACTAACCTTCCAGTTTGAGGTTACCTTTCATCAGAACAGGTAAAGGCAGTTCCCCGAATTGCAAACAGGTTCCATAAGAGTCCGTTCGCAAGTCGATTTGTACACAAATCAGAACATAATGCAGCACAATATCAAATAGCCATTCCTAAGTTACAGGAAATATTTGTATGTCAGATCTTTAAAATTACACCTTTGCTAGGGGCTACATTCAGAAGTACAAGCATCTGCAATTCAGGAATCCCCTGTACAAATTTTCTTCTTGGTTTTGAACACTTGGTGTTCTCGCTCAGTTAAGGACCCTGTGAATGTTTACCAGGGTTACAGTACATTTGATTATTAAACTTTACAAATTTCCAAGTAAACTAAAGCCCTAGACTAGGAGATAGATCAATAAAGATACAATGGCAACCATTTCAGAATACTTAGACTAAGTAAATTCCCACTATAAAAAGAAAAATTCTAAAGATATGACCCACCATCTCAATTAATTAGTTAGGGAAAACATCAAACTTAAGGCAAACGATGCAAAGATAGGTGTCAGGTCAGATGTCTAATCACAATATATGCAACAGCAGAGATGATCAAGATGTTAATCAGGAAGGAAGAATTAGAATAAAGGGAAGCGAAGATTGTAAAAACAGACAGCGAGAGTTTCGACATGTATTTAAAAAGGAAAAAAAGGAGAGTGAGTGTTGGTCCTCTCAATGAGGAAGGATACAAAAGACATTCAGTAATTGCTGTAAATCAAATCAAGAGGAGGAAGGGAGAGGAGAACTTAGCAAAGTTACAAGCATGAGGGAAATGGTACTAAGAAAACTGATGGATTTCCCCCAAGGTTTTAAAAGAAGTTGCTAATGATGCACTATTTTAATTTAATTTTTGTTCATTTTACAAAATTTAACATTAATTTTCCAAAATTTCCTAGATATAGGAAAGGTTCCATTCGTCTGAGAAGCAGCAATTATAGTCCTTCTATTCAAGGGAGGGCAGAAGGCAGGCAGAAAACAGGAAACTACAGGTTGGTTAGTTTGACACTATGTGGGAAAGGTGTTGGAATCAATCAGGAAAGAGATTATAGCTGTGCACTTCAAAATAAACAGGTAATCAGGGAGCGTCAGCATGTTCAAGAGAAATAATTTTTAACTAATTTATTGTAGTCCTTTGAAGTAACAAGTACTGTGGATAAATGGGAGCAGAAAGCATTTGATAAAGAACACCAACAGTCCCTCTAAGCTGCATGGCTGTGCTGACATTCTGCACACAACAACTGGTATACCTATACAGATCACAGCATTGATTTTCAGTTCCAGAAGTCACTGCTGCACACAGACCTTGCTGGTTCACACAGAAGAAAATTAGAAGGATTGTCACCTACCACATCAAAGGCTATTTTGTGCATTAAAAGCTCATGGTGTAGGGGTAACGTACTAGCACAGATGGAAGATTGGCTGGCTGATCAAACAAAAAAGTACGCATAAATGAGTTTTGTTCAACTGGTAGGATGACTGAAATCCCACAGGGGTCTTACTGGGATTCCAACTCCTTCTCTGACAATTAGTATCAACGACTTAGACAAGGGGATTAAACATGTCATGACTAAATTTGGAACACACCGAACTCGGAAAGTGATGGAGGCAGGGTCCTTGAATAATTTTAAGACAAAAATGGATGGATTCTTGCTAAGAGAGAGAATCAATGGAAAGTGGAAATGTGCAATTCAGAACAAACAGACCAGCCACAATCTTATCAAGTGGAGGAACAGTCTTGAGGGACTAAATGGTCTACTTCTACCATTTTGTAGATGCGTAAATTTTAAGTGCAAAATCAATTTGATTATCTTGAGCCTTGTATTATTTTACATGGGAAATGTGACTTTCTAAAATGTAATCATAAAAGTACCAAAAAAAATTCAATACGTTATTAAAACAACTCATCGCAAGTAGCATTGTTTCAATCCTAACTGGGAAATCCCACAATCCAGCCATTTCTTGAATTGTTATTCCAGTGTAGTCAAAAGTCAAACATCTGTAGAATTCTCGAATTGTTGGAAAGGTAATGTCCATTGAGCTGTAAGATGCAGCTGGCTATACAAAGATTGCACATCATCTTCAATTGCAGACTTCAGTTTCACTCAAATAGATTGTGTTTCTCATGGTCTTGGAGATATTCAACGTTTGGGAGGTTGAAATGTTTAATAAGTCACTGAGGATCTCTCTTCTCCATCTTTTTAATTATTGATGCATAATGGTCATGCTCTTGTATACAAGTGAACACCACTGCCAAGTTTTTTTTTAAACACTGATCTTACAGATGCAGTAATCAATTCACCTGCAATACTCACAGATTATGAAGAGTTAAAGAGATGCAGTAATCAGATTGTTGCAACATGACCCTCACCACTCTCAGCTTAAGTCAACATCCATCATATTGTCACCAGAAGAAACATGGAGTTTCTGAATTCCAAAGAAAACAGCAACATGAATTTTTATTTCACCAACTGGAGGCATCTTTCCATGCCTGAAACAAGAAGTCAAGGTGATACAGATTGTGGGCAAAGATTGAGATCTGTTTTAATTGTATAAAGTCAGTCAATGATTTGAGGGGATCTGGTTTGTCAGTCCCAGCAAGTGGATTCACCATTGTTCCAATCTTCTTCATTTGGTGGTCTAAACATTGAACGGGTCAAAGAGGCAGAGATTCAGTGTCATTATCCAAGGTCAAAAAGCTCCATTTTGTACTAAGATGACCAGTAGTGGGTTTTCCCCTTCCTCTTATCCCACATTCCCATTTCTGCAATTTCAACTTCAAAACGGACCTACAGCAACCAAGGCAAGTCTACTTTCAGCAAGGCAAAGTTGATCAAAAGTTGCACTACTCAAATCAGAGTATTTCGGCTTAAACAGCAAGGTTATTAGCATTAACCAAAATTCAGATTGCTGGTGAAATCTATAGCTTTATTCCACCATACTGGGCGTAACTACTAAAGATAATTAAAGGGAGTTGGATCAGGACCCTAAGTCACCATCACCACTTAGTGTCAAAAGTAGTACAAGCTTAAATCAGTTTCTGGTTGTTTTGTGTAGACTTTCTACTCACTCTGGAGCGAATCGACTTCTGCTGCCCTCTCTCTCCATCTTCTACTGTCTTCAGTTACATTTTCACCATGCAGAGGGAAACATATGAGTCTTGTTAAAAAGTCAATTCCAAATAGCTGTCTGCTTCTTCAGGTATCCCAGAGAGATCAATGTGCTTGCAAGTAGATATAACGGAGAGGTCTTGCAGTAGAAGTTGGAGGGAAAGCACATAAAAAGACAAAAAAAAACAAAGCTGCCATCAAGTGATAAATGCACCCCCTCCCGATTAACCTGATCAGTTCCATCAGAAGCAAAAAAGACAGCTGGTTTTAGTGCAGTGAATGCAGTGATAATATTGTGGGAAAGGATCAAGAACTAACAAGTGCTTCCTGCACAAATTGAGACATTAATTACCAGCATTCAACTGGCCATTTTAATTAAATGACCATCATTACACTGGTCAAGGCCTAGAAGTAACAGCTGATAAATCCCATCTATTCAAATCGAAAGCTGTACAGTACATATTGATAGTACTGAGAATTTTCACATTTTTGTACCGGCAAGCATATTTTTCCACATTGAATTATACACAAGAACATATAGATATGCCATCACTCTCAAAGTCAGCCTTTACTTTCCTCCACA